ACAACTGGCTCTTCCTCACTCCTACAAGATGTTATTCCTCCTTGCCCTATACACGAAATCACAGCTTCCCTATCTTCATCAACATTTAACAATTCCTCAAAATATTCCCTCCATCTTCCTAATACCTCTAACTCTCCATTTAATAACTCTCCTCCTACTTTTAACTGACAAATCCATTTGTTCTCTAGGCTTCCTCAACTTGTTAATCTCACTCCAAAACTTTTTCTTATTTTCAACAAAATTTGTTGATAACATCTCACCCACTCTCTCATTTGCTCTCTTTTTACATTGCTTCACCACTCTCTTAACCTCTCTCTTTTTCTCCATATACTCTTTCCTCCTTGCATCACTTCTACTTTGTAAAAACTTCTCATATGCTAACTTTTTCTCCCTTACTACTCTCTTTACAACATCATTCCACCAATCGCTCCTCTTCCCTCCCGCACCCACTTTCCTGTAACCACAAACTTCTGCTGAACACTCAAACACTACATTTTTAAACCTACCCCCTACCTCTTCGACCCCATTGCCTATGCTCTCATTAGCCCATCTATCCTCCAACAGCTGTTTATATCTTACCCTAACTGCCTCCTCTTTTAGTTTATAAACCTTCACCTCTCTCTTCCCTGATGCTTCTATTCTCCTTGTATCCCATCTACCTTTTACTCTCAGTGTAGCTACAACTAAAAAGTGATCTGATACATCTGTGGCCCCTCTATAAACATGTACATCCTGAACTCTACTCAACAGTCTTTTATCTACCAATACATAATCCAACAAACTACTACTGTCATTTTGCCCTACATCATATCTTGTATTCTTATTTATGCTCTTTTTCTTAAAATATGTATTACCTATAACTAAACCCCTTTCTATATAAAGTTCAATCAAAGGGCTCCCATTATCATTTACACCTGGCACCCCAAACTTACCTACCACACCCTCTCTAAAAGTTTCTCCTACTTTAGCATTCAGATCCCCTACCATAATTACTCTCTCACTTGGTTCAAAGGTTCCTATACATTCACTTAACATCTCCCAAAATCTCTCTCTCTCTCTCTCCTCTTCCTCTACATTCCTCCCTTCTCCAGGTGCATACATACTTATTATGACCCACTTTTCGCATCCAACCTTTACTTTAATCCACATAATTCTTGAATTTACACATTCATATTCTTTTTTCTCCTTCCATAACTGATCCTTCAACATTATTGCTACTCCTTCCTTAGCTCTAACTCTCTCAGATACTCCAGATTTAATCCCATTTATTTCTCCCCACCGAAACTCCCCTACCGCCTTCAGCTTTGTTTCGCTTAGGGCCAGGACATCCAACTTCTTTTCATTCATAACATCAGCAATCATCTGTTTCTTGTCATCCGCACTACATCCACGCACATTCAAGCATCCCAATTTTATAAAGTTTTTCTTCTTCTCTTTTTTAGTAAATGTTTACAGGAGAAGGGGTTACTAGCCCATTGCTCCCGGCATTTTAGTCGCATCATACGACACGCGTGGCTTACGGAGGAAAGATTCTTTTCCACTTCCCCATGGACAATAGAAGAAATAAAGAACAAGAGCTATTTAAAAAAGGAGAAAAACCTAGATGTATGTATATATATATACGCATGTGCGTGTCTGTGAAGTGTGACCAAAGTGTAAGTAGGAGTAGCAAGATATCCCTGTTATCTAGCATGTTTATGGGACAGAAAAATACACCAGCAATCCTACCATCATGTAAAACAGTTACAGGTTTCTGTTTCACAGTCATCTGGCAGGACGGTAGTACTTCCCTGGGTGGTTGCTGTCTACCAACCTGCTACCTAGTACATCATAGTAAAACCAATCAAAATCACCTCTATTTCTATAATATGTTTTCCATTCTATCAAATGAGACCAAGAAAACGAGAATACAACCATAAATACTATACGGAAATACACCACAAATTTTTCGTTTTAATCCAAAAAAACAGTTGGAGTTTTTTTTCTCATTATGCACTGCATGCTGCAGGATTTTTTTTATATGGTGCACACTGACCACACAGACCCATTCTCTCACATGTGGGCCTACCAGCTTTCTCCTGCTTGATCTGAAGCTGCTAGAATTTATGAGTATATATACGTCAAAAACGGTGGCTCATAAGATGTATATATACGACCAAAACAGTGAAAGGGTTAAAGATTAATTATAGTTTTACATTCACAAAACAATGAGAACTAAATAAAATAAATAAATGAACATTTAAATCACTATTACATATTTTTATTGAAGACTCTTGTTGGCTTATGGAAGACAGGGAAGATTGATAATTGTTTGGAAGGGAAATCCCCTTCCATAAGGACTTCAGGTATCAAAGCCCTCTCTGGGGTTACTTCCCTTCCTGCCTGCTACACTCCCTGCCTGCTACACTCCCTGCCTGCCTGCCTGCTGCACTCCCTGCCTGCCTGCTACACTCCCTGCCTGCCTGCTACACTCCTTGCCTCCCTTCCACATTCCCTGTTTCCCTGCTACACTCCCTGCCTGCCTGCTACACTCCCTGCCTGCCTGCTACACTCCTTGCCTCCCTTCCACATTCCCTGTTTCCCTGCTACACTCCCTGCCTGCCAGTTACACTCCCTGCTACACTCTCTCCTTCCATGCTACATTCCCTGCCTCCCCTCCACAGAATATGTGTAAAGAACCAAGGATAACCCAAAAAAAGTCAGACAGAGTGACTTATTTCCACTGGGGTCCTGCCTCCCCACTACACTCCCTGCTAAATTCTCTTTCACAACATCAGCTTCCTTGATTTCCCTGCCTCCCTGTTAAACTCCCTTTTGCAACATTAGCTTCCTTGATTTCCGTGCTACAGTCCTTGCCTCCCTGCTACACTCCTTCCCTCCATGCCTCTTACACTCCCTGCCTCCCTGCTACACTCTCTGCTAAACTCCCTTTTGCAACATTAGCTTCCTTTGTTTCTACTTTCTTTGCTAGGATGGAAGTGATTGCTGATTTGGATTTCCCATACATCCTGGCAAGTTCTAGCACTCGAACACCACTCTCATATTTTTCAATAACTTCTTTCTAAAATTCCATCGTGTTTCTCACTTTCTTTATCAAAGGAACTTTACTAGGAACTTTCTTTGGGCCCATGGTGGCTTATTTCACAGTCACACTTAATAAACAAGCAGTAAAACCAATGGATTTTAAGGAAATGTTTGGATGAATGTGCGGAGTATATGCTCATTCACTGAGACACAGGGAAACTGAGTCACCTACACAGCGGCGTCCCAGCGAGAGGTGAGTTGATGCATATAATAGGGCTGATCTGCAAGGCACCGGCTGAAATACGGAGCAAAATTTCGGCCCAAAAACCAGCCTAAATACGCTTCAGCCGATAAATGCAGCAGCCAATATGCAGGGTTCCACTGTATTGACTTATTTATTTAGCATATCAGGTTCATACAGTACTTAATTAACAACCTACCCATTTAACGACAGCTTGGACTTACAACCAGCTCTCTGACCAGTATGCAAACCTAAGTACAGTCTCTCCTCACTTAACGACGTACTCGTTTAATATACCACTTGGGCTTACAACCAGCTCTCTGACAAGTATGCATATGTAAGTAATGTATATTAAAGCTGATTTCCTCTTATTCAGTTTATTACAATGTACGGTACACTACTATATAAGCATTTAAAATTATACTAAAAATGTTATAAATGGTACAAAGATGACATTAAAACAATACATGTATCTAAAGACGGTTGACACAAATCCACTACAGTACACTATACTCCTCGCTTAATGACTAATTCACTTACCGACCTACTCTTAGGAACGCAATTCGCTCGTTAAGTGAGGAGCACCTGTGTTCAACTTACGATGCGTTCATTGGAACATAACCCCATCTTAAGTCGAAGAGCACCTGTGCACTCATTCCTGTTAGGTAAAGGGACGCACGTGCAGTTCATGCGACATTTTATTATGGCAAGGTTTCACTCTCCAGGAGTTTTGTCAAGCCATTAACAGCTTCACCAAGCCATTAATGACATTTTATTGTGGAAAAAAGCATTGCCACAATAAAATGTCATGTTAGTTGCGCTTGTGTCCTTTCACCTAACATATAATCAGTAATTCTACCAATATTATTACAGTGGACCCCCAACATTCGAAGGCATCGACATTCGATAAATCCGACATTCGATGAATTTTAACGCAAAAATTTCACCTCGACATTCAATGGAAAACCCGACATTCGATACGATTCGTACGAGACGTGTCCACGTGTGGCCTGAACTGCCCCGTGTGTGCCAGTGTTTACAAGCCAGCCAGTGTGCACGCATCTAAGGATACATTCGGTACATTCCATATTATCCATATTATCACTGTTTTTGGTGCTTGTTTCTGCAAAATAAGTAACCATGGGCCCCAAGAAAGCTTCTAGTGCCAACCCTTCGAGAAAAAAGGTGCTAATGACTATTGAAATGAAGAAAGAGATAATTGCAAAGTACGAAAGTGGAGTGCGTGTGTCGGAGTGCATGATGATTTGGTAAAAAAATTGCCTGCAACTAGTGGTGATGTGAGTGAAGTTAAGGCCAGCAAAGGTTGGTTTGAAAGATTTAAGAATCGTAGTGGCATACACAGTGTGGTAAGGCATGGTGAGGCTGCCAGTTCAAGTCCTAATGGAAGGAGATTCCCCTTCTAAACACTAGCACCATCCACACTCTCCCCTCCTTCCATCCCATCAATCATCACCAGATCTTCATTAAAGGTAAGTGTCAATTATTCTATTGTTATTAATCTATTGTTATTGTAATTATTCTATTGCATTAAACTTAATATTTCATGTGGTAATTTTTTTTTTTTCATACTTTTGGGTGTCTTGCACGGATTAATTTGATTTCCATTATTTCTTATGGGGAAAATTAATTTGACTTTTGATATTTTCGACATTCGATAGCTCTCAGGAATGGATTAGTATCGAATGTCGAGGGTCCACTGTACACTCATTCTTACCTCAATAATGCTCCTCCTGAATTTCTGCAGCTCAGCATCTTTGAAGTCCTCAAGATCGTGGACAGACCTTCCAATAGCCAGACCTGCATTCACGAAACTATTTATCTAGAGAGCCTAAACATAAGGTGACAGTTAAATCTTAAAGTTAATATGATAGTTCGACTTACAATATTTTGACTTAACAATGATGCAATGTACTGTAAACTTTTTTTTTTGTACTGTACAGTAGGACCCCTGTATCTGCGGGGCATATATTCCAAGGACCTGCCGTTGACACCAAAACCGTGGAGTAGCAAACCCTGTATATAAGTCCTATATATACCTATCATAAAATTTAACTGATAAATTATGCACAATAAGTGGAGAATTATCAGTTTTTCACTGATAGGAAGCACTTCATGGCTTCTCTTAAACTTTAAAGAACTGCCAGCTTCTCTACTTTTGTGATTTGGATCCAATTTTAAGCAAAATTAAGAGGAATTTTTGGGCCACAGTAAATCATGGATAAGTGAAACTGCGGATACCAAATCAGTGGATACGGGGGTTCTACTGTAATGTACATGTATTCAGAGCTGGCCTTAGGAGGTGTGGGGCCCAACTGGGAACAATTTTGGTGGGCCCCATGTATGGAAAGCAATCAAACTGTGCGCTTAAAAAATGCATGCGAGTTAATAGACCTAACAGATGTAAGCTACATTTTAATATAAAATTGCATATATGTAAGCCTACAAGTAACAAACAAAATTTGTATATCACCTCAGAAAAGTACAGTCACAATACCACTTGCTTTGGTGACTGTCGGCTACAATCGCCTCCCCATCAGGCAACTTCACCACCGCTTTCGGGGAAATTTGCCAACATATTATATCCAAAGGCCCCCTTTTTTTTACCTCGTGTTGTAGTGCGTACTTAACAAGCCGAGAGTAGATTACACTCTAGCGCTGGGCCCCCTAAGGTGAAGGGCCCAATTGGAAACAATTGCTCCTATCGGCTTAAGGCCGGCCCTGCATGTATTGATAAGATAAACTAGTATTCATTTATTTACTTTTCAATACTGATATTTAATTACAGTAATTATTTATTTATTTGCTTATTCAGTGACAACAGTTATTTATTTACTTATTTACTTATTACGTATCCATATCTGACTTACGATATTCTCAACTTATGATGATCTCACTGGATCGTAACCCCATTGTGAGTCAAGGACCATCTGTATATACATGTGAATGTTTATGTATGTGTGTGTATAAACATTCATGCAAGTTTTTTCTTAATTTTTAAATAGTTTCTTTCCCTCAGAGTATTTCACTTCAGTTCCATGGAGAAGTGGATTAGAATCCTTCCTCCATTAGCAATGAAACTGTAGAAATCAATTAACGCTTTGAGGATCCATCTCGTACTTCTATGGTTTTGAAGCCTGGATCCAAGCCGTAGTTCTACGCCATGACCTCATATCACTCAGATAAGCTGTGAGTGGTAAATTTGGGCCTAGATACATATAAGAGAATACATCTATGTGGTAAGTGTGCACCATATAAAATAAATCCTGCAGCACGCAGTGAATAATGAGAAAAAACTGTGACTACATTTTTGGATTAAAACAGAGATTTTGCGACGATTTTCGTATGTTTTTTATGGTTATATTTGCAGTTTCTTGGTCTCATTTGACAGAATGGAAAATATATTACAAAAATAGAGATGATATTGACTGGTTTTAGTATTGAAAATGGCTTGAAACTGAGCTCAAGGTAGCGGAAATGTTCCATTTTTGCCGATGTTTGAGAGTAAACAAATGACATCACATGTCAAATACATGTCAGCTTGTGGATCTAATGTGTTCACAAATGTGCCAATATTATTTATACAATTATTACAATGTTGCATAATAGTAAATCTTCTATTTTTTGGTGTGAATAAAAATTCATTATGTGAATAAAAAATCAAAATGGAATTCACGTGTAAAGTCTGGAAACGTAATGAATGAACAGGGGGATTGTTATTGTAGTGCCAGGTATGCCTGTATTGCTTATTTTGGACCTTATTTTGAAATTGGAATATTTTGAACTTTGTGTGAAACTGGCCAAATTACCAATTTCTGATCACTTTATTGGGGAGTTGAAACAGTTGACTGGGTGATTTCTTGTGCTCAATCGATAATAGAAGTAATACTAGTGAAATAGCTAAGAATTTGGCCAACTGGAATAATGTAATTGGCCTAAAATGGAAGTCAAAGTGGGTAAAATTGCTGATGCGTAAATATCGCTGACACAGCAAAATTCGCGAGTGTAATTTCGTCAGTTTTCCACCAAATTTCGTACTTTTGTTTTATTATCTTCAGAAAAAAAGATTCTCTTCCATTTCATGAGAAAAAAATATCAAAATTTTTTTTTTTTTTTAACCCTTTCAGGGTCCGTCCCGTAGATCTACGGCTGGTCGGTGAGTGTCCAAACCGTAGATCTACGCCAAAATTCTAGCGCCGTCAAATTTAGCGCGAAAGCGCTCATAGGCCTACATATGAGAGAATGGGTCTGCGCGGTGGGTGTGCGCCATAAACAAAAAATCTAGGCGCCTGCATAGCATTGTGGGAACGCCGGCTCAGTCACCCTTGTTCACCATGTCTCGTCGCAAGTCAGCTCTGACTCCCCGGAAAATTGGGACTCTCCTCTTCCTGTCTGATAGTTCTGACACTGATGGAAGTGGAAATGAAGACGAATTCTACGGCTTTGATGAGTTAGTGACCGAAAATAATGACCAGGATATCGATAATAGTGCAGAAAACCCCGACGATCCTCGACCTTCTACCTCTGGTGTGGGCACTCGTGACTCACGGTCGGTTGTTCCTAAACGTAAGAGAAAACTAATATTTTCCCGTGGCCTGGCCTCTGACTTCAGTAATGACGATGATTCTGACGTGGATTGTGATTTTATTGCGCTCGACGATCATTCGAGTAGTGATAGTGAGGAAACATATTCACCAGTGAAGCGTCGGTATGTGCGCCGCCGCATGCGCTCGGGTAGTGTACCCTATGCTATGCCCAGGGGACGGAGTACATCCCGTAGTACATCCCGGAGTACATCCCGTGGCCCTACACCCGTTTTAGGTAGTGATAGTGAGGATGATGTGGCTACACTTGGCATGGATGGGCCACAGACATCAGTGGATGGTGTTAGTGGGGCTGGTGGTGGTAGTGGCACCGCCATGCGTGACTCGCTGTGCCACGCGGGAACCCACGCTGCTGACTCGTCAGTTCAAGGACAAAGCGGAGCGTCACCCACCAGCCCGCCACAACCACCCGTACAACCAGCCTATGATGTCCAGTATCCACCAGCAAACCGTATCTGGGATTGGCAGCAAAATCCCAATTTTGTTCCCAGCCCTCACCACTTTGATGACTCGCAAAGTGGAAATTTTCTCCCTCCCTGCCCCCTTGGGAACCCGGGCCAAATGAAGGGAATTTTTTGATTTATTTTTTGACCGCCATTGATGGAAACATTGTCGGGGAAAAGAATAAGTATTTTCAGTAACCATGGCAAATACGATTTATCACCCGCAAGACTACACGGGGGAAAAGAGACGATGTTGCAAAAATGTATTTGCTTTTTGCAAAAATAAGTTTATGCCTCAGTCTATAAGCATAATATAAAAGCATACGGGTCCAAGACGGCAAATTTTTACCCCCCCCTTCAGTAAATAAACCAGTGAACAGGTTTATCTTATCTTTAGTATGTTGCACTTCTCTGAAAAAAACCGGGCCGAAGAAGTGCAGGTTATACAAGATTAAAATGTTTTATTATCTCAAAAAAAGTTCAGGAAATACTTTTATCCATTCAAGAATCTTGAAATTGACGAGTCTTTGATTTTTTTAAAAGGGTTTTAGACTTCATTCAAGCAGTAATACCGAGAAAGAGGAACCGTTTTGGGTTTTAAAAATTGTTGTACTCTGTGATTGTGACAGGGGGCCTTTGGTGTTGGATATTGTTGTATACGGGGTAAAAAAACATTAAAAGTACCAAGATGTTTTTGGGGTAATTCGGGGTGCGTAGTGAAAAAAAACTGAGGCACCTTATTTTGGGAAAGGGGCCATACATTAATCCCGATAAGGGTTTACACAAGCCCATTACTCAGTGTTTCAGGGAGTGAACAAGACAGAGTGTGGGGCACATGCGTTTTAATGTAAACATATGCCCAGGCTCAAGCAGGTTTCTGGTGATGACGTGAGGTGTTTACTGCCAATGACACAGGGCATTACGGTGGCATGACAACGGAGTCACATTGTGACAACCATTCACCGAATGAATGCAAGACAGTGGCAAAGTTGATCGAGTGCAAATTAACGTATTCAAAAACCAGTGACATAATTGTTTATACCAAAACATGCGTTTGGGTTGACAGTGGCAGCAGATTGGTTTTGTTGCCCTGTTTTGAAAGAGTTCAAGTGGTACATAAACTTTTCTTCCATCCAGGACATTTCAATGCTGAATGCTTAAAATTGTCCCAAAATAAAAAGGGTAACAGACCACCGTATGGTAATTTTGTTGTCTGTTGTCAGACAACTAAAAATAAAGTACCAGGTAACAACACCTGCAATACAAATGGTCCTCGAAATTCATCACAATTCCCCAGCGTTTGAAAGAAAGGTGTATTTCATAATACAGCTTCCTTCAACTCAAAAGAAATTTGCTCAAAAAGGATGCTTGTCGTGCACAAACAAAACGAGGGCAACAAAGACGCAAAGACACTCGGTTTATGTGTGAGGAATGTAAGGTGCCTCTGGATGGTGCCTTGTTTCAAGGAGTTCCACAAGCCCCAGCGTTCTAAAACCATGCCCATGATTGTAAATAGGGGAAATAATGATAAACATTAGTATTATACAATATTTTTTGCTGTTTATTGTAATAAAAAACGTGGGAAAAAATAATATGATAATAACTTAGTGCGGGTTTTTGTGTTCAATACATGAGTTTTTTTATATAAATTTTATACAGTATTTGGTTTTTCAGGCCCCCCAAAAGTTTAGGAATAGAAAAAAAATTGGAAAAAAAAAGAAAAAAAAAAAACTAAAACAACAAATAATAATAC